GTTGAATTTTATCCCCAAACTTGCAGACTGCAGTTAAAAAGTATGTTGTTGCATAACCACATTTCTTAGATTTAAATCATCTTTTGAAAATGCTTTAGTAACAAAGTGTTAAAACACACTGAGAACATAAAATACATTGCAAAAGGGTAAAGTGTTGTGAATTTCATACTCTTCCCTGATATGGCACACTCATTTTATAACAGTGTGTATCAGATTATGTAGCCAACCAACCCTAAATAAGTTCTTCAGAGCTAAAACAGCTGACGAATCGAATTACCTCACAAATGAATGGAGCAGCTTCAACTGTTTTTTTTTACCAAAGCACTAAACTTAGGATGGACATAAAATTAAGAACAACTTTATAATTATGTACAGCGAAACTGATCACCATTCTGAAAACGAAAACACTTGGCACATTATGTTACTCTTGTGTTATAAAACTATCTATAAGACTTACAGTCCTGCATGTTAATTGGCAGAGATAATAGCGACAACAGTGAAATTAATGAAACAATGGTGGCAGCACTACACAAGATTTATAAATATCAGTGCCATCAATCAAAAGATCAGACAAACACATGAAGTCACCAAACTTGGTGGCAACATTGTCCCCTTTCGCAGTTACACTTGGTCGTCGACTTATGACTGACTTCCGTTCTGACTGACAGGTTGTAAGTTGATCTGGTCGTATGTTGGCCATATATTTATTAACAGTATTTTGTAACCTTTCTAATCTTTTTATCATTTTTATAATTTATTTTTAAAAGCTGTTACATTTTAATCATTTTTTATTTTTCTTTTTTTGTGGTCATAAGTTGACGACCAAGTGTACATTCTTTTACTTTCTGTTGCTGTTGTGCAGCTATACTGAAACCTTGATCTATGGTTTCTTTGGGAAGAAGAGAATCTGAACACTGAACTGAGGAAAATCTTAAATGGAGAAAACTTAGCACTGAGATAATTGACTTGGAATCACTAAAATTGAACATTAAATTAGGGAAAATCCTAAATTGAGGAACATTAAATGGGGAGTTCACTGAAGAGACATCAGCACAGGAAAGCTGTATGTGTAGTGTCTGGAGTGTCTGTTCACTATGAATTATCACCTCATTTCTATTGGCTTCATGTGTGGTGCAATTTTGGTATCTGGTATTTCAAATTAAATTACAAACTTTGTACAGACAAACTGGGAAAATTTCAAGAGATTTCTGGACAATAAAGTCCAGAAAATGCCAGCTACATGACAGCGTCAATTTAATATTGTGCTATCAGATTTTACATCCCCCCATTTTATGCACTTTTAATTTGTAATTTTCATCACATTTTCAAAGTCCCAACAATAGAACTTTATCCAATTTATGCAGACAACATTCTATCTTGTAGACTGCAGAGAGACACTGATGCCATTCCACCCATGTTCAAGGCTGGCCCTCATAACATAAGCACATTTTTGCATATGAAGCATCTGAACCCCATGTGAGACAGCTATACAGACTGACTCTTGGCTGGTTCAAGAAATAACACAGTAAATAGATTACTGCCGTTACATGTATATTTATCATGTTTAAACACGTATACTTGTATTTGGCTTGTCACATTATTGTATAGAACAACCCATATTTTTCTTTATACCGTATCCTTTCCATTTTTCAGATTTTACAGTTTTCTCAACTTTTTGCTAATTTCATGATCCCCTCAAAAGTGTAATTTTGAGGTATCACTGTGTGTACCTTCTATTTATCATGATCATTACAGTCTGGGACATGTCACAGTACAATAAATACAAGACAATTAAAAAATGGAATAAAGACAGATGTCAAGATGCAATGCCTCACCCCCAAATAAAAATCTAGGAATAATTCAAGGGACAATAAATTTGAAGGATTAAATCTTGAATACAATAAACATATAATAAATTTTATAAAGATATGACTTAAAACATAGTTGTATATGCTGTTCTATAGCTATAATAATGAACATTTATTGCACAACCCTAAGTAAATGTAACAAAGTACATATTAGTCATTATATAGTTTACAAATTCCTCAACAATTCAGACTATGCAAGTCAAATAATTCTTTTAATGCTATCTTAAATGGTTCTTTCTTACTCAACCAACACTTAATGATAGATGGCAGCAGGTTTCACAGGTTCTTTTGCATGAGACACCTGGCTAGGGGTAGCGGATTCTCATGTGATAATAAAGATGATGATTATCATGTTACAAACATACTGTAAAAAGCAGAGAAGTAGGAGCCCAACATCAAATTTAGTCTGAGCCATGCATGCTAGCTCAGCAGTAATATTTTTGCTTTCCTAACCTTCCTGTTGCTTTTACCTTCTTCTCCTACCTGGAAGCTTTCTTTCTATCCCCTTCTCTGAGACCTCAGCCTAATGTCTATCACTATCAAGAAGCCCTAGAGTGTCCTAGTTCATTTGTTCCTTAGATTTCAAATAAGTGACATTTTCTGGGAGTCAGCAAGGGCAGTTGATCAATTTATCCATTTGGGGATTGGTAGCTGAGTGGTACATATAAATTTAGTTGTTTCTTCATCTGCTGCACTCAACTCTGAAGTTATTCATTAGGTTTTCTTTTACTAGTCCCCCAGCTTTACTATAACTATTTTCCTACATCTGATTATCATTTTTTTTGTGTGTACTGCTTACTGCCCTCTGCCCTATTTTCTTTTGGTAGTTGTGAAAGTAATAAAGAACTACACCAGGATCAGCATTCAGTATTTACAGCTTCAATAACAAAGGGATTACTGTGTATGTTACAGGCCTTGTTCATTTTTTACATTTAATTAATGTCTTTTAATAAATGCCCAATGGATTATATTGCAGTTATGTATACTATTTCATTTGTATTGCTCTATTCACTGGATGATTCTGAATACTGGTCAGAGGATAGAAATAGTAGTGGTTCCCTCTTGTATCTTCCTCTCTCACACTTTAGCTTTATTACCTTTGTAGCTGGTTGTTGCTGTCAGTGTTTGTAAGAATACGACGCCCTGGAGGAAGATGGCTCCAGAGATGGTTCTGTAATCCAATCTCATTGTTAAAACCTCTTGAACAAACCGAGCAGCGATAAGGTTTCATTTCCTTTCCCACTATGGCTGGGGAAGCAGGTGGGACAATTGATAATTGTGAAGAAGGTGGCAGAGGAAGTGGTTGTTGCTCCGTGTCACTGGGAAAAAAAAACAACTACTAAATGCATGTGCATAATTTTATCACTCTAGCCATAATCATCATCATCAGTAATCTGTCAAGAAAACAGGTCCACAGTCTCTTCCAAAACAATTCCTCCATTTAATGCCATAATATGGTACAATAAATTTGAATAGCACAGTAAAGAATATTATTTATCTAGCTACAAATCTGGATTTTGAGGAATTGGTTGTGGCCTATTTTAAGACATTATTCTTGTATCTGCCATGAGAGGAACCACAAAATAAATCAGTATTGGTGGTCTCCAGGTCAAGAAATGAAAGTAACACCTCCTATGTAAAAGTAAGCATGACAACCAGTTAACGACGGCATTTGGTGCTCAGTTTCGTTATAGTTAGTTGTGCTGATATACAAAGCAGAATAATTATATTGTATCATAAAATTATGAATGACCTGTTTTTTCACTTGCAGCAGTTATATGTAATGTTATGATTTCACTCCTCACAAAAACACCCTGTGGAATACAGTAATCTCATATGCTCTGACGTTAATTTTCTTCTTATTTATTTAAACATTCACTGTCACAGTGGTCACCAGTGTCCACTTTGGCCTCTTATCTTGTGCCATTGTAATCACCAGTATCCACTCTGCATGCTTTGAGATATTTCTGCCCCATTGCTATATGTTCAGTGGTAGAATGTCATCTTTATAAGTGAATGTGGCTGCTATGGTTTTCGGGTACAACACACATTTGCCAAAATTACATAATGAAATATCTAAGTGGCAGAATAAAGATTTGGTTTGTGACAAGAACATCACTATTAGCTTCTAAAGTATGCACATAATTGACTTATGATAATGATATATAATTATTATCATAACCAGGCTGCTACACCCAGAATATCTCACTGTAACCTCTTTCTGTTATGTTGCAAGTATGAATTAGTAAAGAAGCTTTTCAACCACTTCTATTTTATGGAAACAGTTTCAGTATTAACTATGTTTCAGCCTGGTTACAATGATCATTTTCATCCATCAAAGAATAATGTGTTGCCAACCATGCATTCAGTGATAAAAATCACTATTCTGAAGCAACAAATATTCATATTGTTTTTACAAATATAAATCACTGCGTCCAATGTGACCTGTAAGTTTTTTACTACATGAAAACTTAACACCCTTACATGTTTCGGTCTCTGTGGACCATCTTCAGAGGGCAAACATCACTACAAATAGGAAACCACCATCACATAAGTTGTTTAGATGTAAAGTACGTACACTTACATGCTACAATACATAGTACACAAAACAGTGAAAACAACACAGCAGCCAAGAGTAAAGCCTGGACGTTATGAAGAACCTCCACATCAAGATAGCCAGGTGGCACATTATCTGCCCCATATAAGAGGGACGATGGGAGGACGAACATGAGCCTGCATGGTTTACGAATTTTAATTATTGACAATCCAAAAAATTTTTAATTAGCATCAAGAAATTTTATACAATTTTATAAAAAACTTTACATTCCCAGGAAACTGCTGTGTTTGTGAAATGTGAAATGTCTATTTTGTGTACTATGTATTGTAGCGTATAAGTGTACGTACTTTACGTCTAAACAACTTATGTGATGGTGGTTTCCTATTTGTAGTGATGTTTGCCCTCTGAAGATGGTCCACAGAGACCGAAACATGTAAGGGTGTCAAGTTTTCATGTAGTAAAAACTTACAGGTCACATTGGATGGAGTGATTTATATTTGTAATTGTTAGTGTGACGGACCAGAATGAAACAAATCAAACTCATATTGTTTTTATTTGTACTATTATTTTGTTATATAATAAACTGAATACTAGATATTACAGTTACTTGGCTCAACTGCCATGGCAAACATAAGACCCTAATCCCAACCACTATTTTGCTGTGCGCAATGCTGAAGTACTCCAAACAGTAATATTAACCTACACAGCTTTATAAAGACTATTCTGCCCAAATTGCCCTCATTCTTGTTTGAGATAGCAGCCAGTTCTACTGAAGCCTTCTTTCTTCTTCAAAGATTGCAGAGAAGAATCCTCAATATCATCCTTTCGAAGGTAGAGCATTCCACTGCAAGCTTCCTGTATCACTTCAAACTTTGTGACATGCTAGACACATAGCTTGGTGGTCTCAGAAATCAACCCATGATTTTGCTATGTTGTATGTAGGTTTCAAACGAATCTTATTACCTTTTCTGACTTAAGCACCTCCCATTTGTCATGCCATTTGATGACAATATTTCCCTTCACATTTCTGGCAGCCACCATTTCTCCTTCCTTCAATTTTGCCTTTATGACATACTGTGGATTACCTTTCACATTAAAGAAGAACGTTCTGAAGAGGTGAATGTTATGATCTAATAATTCACTTGCAAGCTTCATACTAGTAAAGCAGAATGGTGTAGCAGTAACATTCTAAACTTGTATTTGGGTAGTACTCATTTTGAATCCCAGCTATCCTGAGGTCCTTTGTGGTTTCTTCAGTCCCTCCACAGAAATTCAATGAAAATAACTCAATTAGGCAATGACTGCTTCCCTTAAAATCCTTTCCAATTCATTACTCACTAGTCATCCTACCATTTGATGCTACACAGTCTTACTGGCAGTGTTGTCAAATAAGTCATTAAAAGATCCATTGTATCCTTTTCCATGAATGGTGCAAATAAATTTAAAATGTTATACCACATTTGTGAGACTTCTGGGGTACATACTGTTTCAAGCATGAGGCATCATGCAATAGCTACTAATGTTTCAGATACACAAACAGTTTTCCCCCCAAGATGAGCATCTGCTGAATCCCAGTATTGCATTTGTCAATAATTTGCTGTATTTGTGGAGTCTGTCATGGGACAAAGTAATTCAGAATAGCTAAAATTCATGTTTTGAGCCACAATGTTCCTGCACAAAGAACTAGTGATGCCACAGTCACCCATACTGAGCACACGGACTAGATCCATACACATGACAAGACCAAGGAATTTTCACATCTTCTCTGCGGTAGTTCATTCCCAGAATGGAGTCGGAACTGTGCAGTAATGTCCGTGATCATAATAGTGTCTGCTCTCTTCCATAATTTTGATTACTACTTCACTGTCAACTATTGAAAAATGACCAACACCTGCCTCAGTTCTGAAATACATGTTATTACGAACTGGGAATTCCTTTACCAATACACTATTCAGAACTTAACGCATAAGCTAGGACCTGTAAGTTACATGAGTGAAAAGTGCATATATACAACATCCATTAGCCATTCCTCACATTCATACAATTTTTATAAAACAAATTATCTGGGGGGGGGGATAATTTTTTTGGTATGCTGTAACTATACCTAAAATGATCACATAACTCATATAAGAAAAGTGATAATTGTAAGTCACAAATCAAGAAGGGTACATTCACCCCTGTAGCTAAGCATACCACCACTGCAGCATGGAAATAAGTTCCAAGCATTCAAAATCTTGACAATAGATGGAAGTGAGTGGCCAACTTCATGTTCCAATCTCTTTACCACTGGAGTAAGAGCCCTTAGTGCCCACTGAACAGGAGGCTAGGAGCTGTTCAGAACATGGTTGTGTGTTCCTGCTACAAGCCAAACCCCAACCAGAGGCCAGTGATCAATGACTTATGTACCCCAAATGCTTTAAGTGGCCAATACAACACAAATTCATAATTTGTCACAGAATTCTAGGAAGGCAAAGGAGGCTCTATAAAACATCATTCAAAATATGACAACAGGTTCAGAAGTAGAAAGACATGCTAAACACACTGATCCTTCAAAGACAGGCAAAATACATTTGTATTTTGCACAAAGAATGTCTGAAATTAAAACTCAATCATATCTGTTCAAAATCATGTACCAATAAATGTACCAATTAAAAGCACACACACACAAAAAAAAGATAACTATAGAAAAAGGTAACGTCTCTGTGCTTAATAAGTTAAGCACTATGCCATGAAGACTTATGTGGGAGTGGAGGTATAGTTCCACATTTCTTGACGTCAGCACTTGGCTGGAGGTGAGAGGTCAGCTTCATGCCCCTTATGCTTTACCCCCTGGGGAAAGAGCCCCATGTAACCATTGGATAGGAGGCTTGGTAAGCCCCAGAGTCAGGCTGGAAGCTGCACTACTGGGAATCGAACCTGGGCCATCCAGCCCATAGCTATACCAACCGAGCTCTCCTGACTCCTGATAACTATAGAAAGAAATATTAATAAAATGTCCATAATGACATAATAAATTTGAGTTTACCTCTAAACTAGAACATGCACCTTCTGTTATTGTGGTAGCAGGATGAACAGACACTGAATGTAAAATGCAATCACCAGCAACATCATGCCAAAAGCTCTACAAGTGACCTACTGGAATGAAAATTTCAAAATTAAAAAAATGAAACCTGATGTGGTAGCAGAACATATAATTAGGAAAGGCAAGGCATGTAATACACCATATTCTATAGTTTTTTAGTATTTATTTTATGGAGGAGGAAGTAAGTTTACAATGTAAACCATATTGTTTCTGTACTTCTGTGCAGAACACTTCAGAGATTTCACACTATCACTACACACTTGCTAGCACTAAATTGGTATAACATGTTTTAATCATCATGCAGCTATCATGAGGTAGATCTGTGTAGTATGCACGCTAGTGATAGCTGTTAAGAGTTAAAATGTCTACATTTGTTTTAATTGTGAGTTAAAATTATATGAAATTGCAACTTGTTGCCTTTCATTGCTGTACAGATCTTTGTTGTGGTTTGAACTTATTTGTTTTCTTCTGTTATTAGGGACATTTGACGCCTGTTGGTGGACCAACAGGAACAGTCTTCATCTAGCCATCAAAGAGCAGTGAACATACCAAATATCAGCAGAAAACAAATAAGGACTTACTTACTTACTAACTCATGGAGCTGAGCCCTTCTGGAGGAGCTGCCAATTCTGGAGCTACTCAAGAATTTCCCAGCATTTTATGGAACCCAAAGGTTCATT